GCTCTCTTCTTCCCCTTAGGAGAGGAATTGTCGGTTCCTCCCTTCGGAGCAGCCTCCTTCGAGGAGGCCATAGCTTCCTTGTCCTCCCCCTCCAAAGGCATTATTTCCAGCATCCTGACCAGCACGGGATCCGGCCTGGTTTCGGGAAGGGGAGCCGGACACCTGATCAGCTTTGCCTTCGCTATCCACTCCTGTTTAAAAGGACGGCTCTTTTAGGGGCAAGTTTATGACAATTATACGGATAGAAGGTCCGGGCACAAGGTTGCTTACTTGAGTATCCAGGCGATTGCAGCTTAGGCCTGCGTCCTCGGTTAAATCCGGACACATCTCTTGTGATCCGAAGAACAGTTTATACATCTCCGCGGGCGTTGCGCCCATGAAATTCTGGAGAGCTTGCGGTCCCTCTGGATTAAACTCCCACATGCGAAGGGAGCGACGTTTGCCGGGCAATATTCGACGAATTAGCATGACCTGCGTCACCTTGACCAGGCTGAGGTCTCCTTCCAAGAGATCCTTAATGCGGCCCTGTAACAAGGGCACGTCTTTAGGCAAACCCCAATCTAACCCTCTGTTAACCCATGATGCTAGCCGTGGTGGGGGACCCGAGCGAAAGGCAGGAAGCGCCACCCACTTGGTGCTCCGGGGAGCGGTGATATAAAACCACTCTCATTGCCACAAGCCTAGCTCCTCTTGAAAAGAGCCCTCGGGCCATGGAGCATCAGCATTTTTGCTTATAACAGCGCCTCCACACTCTGCGTGCCGTCCCTTGATCATCTTCGGCTCCACTTTGAAAGTCTTGAGCCATAATCCGAAGTGAGGGGTAACACGGAGGAACGCTTCGCATACAACGATAAACGAGGAGATATAGAGGATGGACTCCGGAGCTAAGTCGTGGAATTCCAGCCCGTAATAAAACAGTAGTCCCCTCACAAAGGGATCCATCGGGAAGCCTAGCCCCCGAAGGAAGTGAGACACGAACACCACGCTCTCACCGGGCTGGGGACTGGGGATAGCCTGCCCTTGAGCAGGCAACCTGTGCGGAATTTCGGCGGTCAAGAACTTAGCCTCTCTCAACTTTAGCACGTCCTCCTCCGTGACGGAGGAGGGCATCCATCGGCCTTGAAGGTCGGAACCGGACATTGTCAAAGGTCTGAGGCACCCAGAATCTGGAGCCTAGGGTGTTGGAACTCGAGGCGACGGGCGAACTTGTTTTGGGATTGGAGAAAAGGAGTAAGGCCCTGGTCTCTTTATAAGAGGTTGAATACCAGGAGCCCTCCCCGTAACCGTTTGGGACTCGCCTTTAATCGAGAAAACATGCTAACGGGCACGATTGGGTTACCCACGTCCGTATTGATGAGAATCCCGTAAAAGGGGGGCACACGATCTCTGCTTTGACAAGACGTGCCAAGGAAACCGCCTCGCAAGACACGCTGAGGTGGAAAAATGAAAACGATTCGAGTGAAGGACTTGGCTGTAGTGTGATGACGCACTGCGAAATACGTTAGCAGATTTGATTTGTGTTAATATTATTCTCTCTATGGCAATATGTGGAAACTTATTTTGCAGAGCCGGACACTACTCTTGGTGTTTACAATCTTCTATGAAGGACTTGGAGGAGGAACCCGCCTTGCAATGCCGAAGACAATTTGCGCGCCGGACTCGTCGTCATTGAAGCCTGGTTCAGGGGCTACTAAGGGAGTCCTGGATTAGGGGGTGTTCGAGTAGCCGGACTATACCTTCAGCCGGACTCCTGGACTATGAAGATACAAGATTGAAGACTTCATCCCGTGTCTGGATGGGACTTTCCTTGGTGTGGAAGGCAAGCTTGGTGATGCGGATATTCAAGATCTCCTACCATTGTAACCGACTCTATGTAACCCTAACCCTATCCGGTGTCTATATAAACCGGAGGGTTGTGGTCCGTAGGCAATCAACTCCATATACAACAATCATACCATAGGCTAGCTTCTGGGGTTTAGCCTCCTTGATCTCGTGGTAGATCTACTCTTGTACTACCCATATCATCAATATTAATCAAGCAGGACGTAGGGTTTTACCTCCATCAAGAGGGCCCGAACCTGGGTAAAACATCGTGTTCCCTGCCTCCTGTTATCATCCGGCCTAGACGCACAGTTCGGGACCCCCTACCCGAGATCCGCCGGTTTTGACACCGACAGTCACTAAGGAACTGACACGTGTTCCAATGGTCAGATTTCAAACACACGCGACATCTTGACTTGGGCTACAAGTAAAGCTGACTTATCCAGCTCTGGATAAGATTTGCTCTCATTGTCTTCGCTCGAAGACATATGATTTGGTTGAGCATCACTTTAGTCACTCTGACTTTGTTCACTTGAACCCCACTTAACAGTACAGTGGTTCCTAAGACTCGATCAATGAAGAAAATGAAACTATGAAACAACTATGTCTTCGCGCTCCAAAGACTTCATGCGATGTCTTCTCATGTCATAGTCTTCAATGTGAATATCTTCACATACCACCATTATCTTCAATGTCTTCACACATTTTTAGGGGTAATCTCCGGTAGGTAAACCGAATCAATGAGGGACTACTACTTGTGTTATCCTGCAATTCTCACAAACACATTAGTCCCTCAACCAGGTTTGTCGTCAATACTCGAAACCAACTAGGGGTGGCACTAGATGCACTTACAGAAATGAGTTTACAAATCAAGTGATGATGGGCAAGCAGTATAGCACAAACACAGCCTCCTCATGTGCTAGTCCTCTTGGAGGAATCAATGGAGTATGAGCAGTGGTTCGTGGGGATAGCTTGATCGTTGGACAACAGTCCAATAGAGAAGAGTCGATATTTCATCTTTTTGAAGAGTCACAAAGGCCGTAGGAGGAGTGGCCAGTAGGTGATTACGGGCCTATGAGCTATGGACGGTTTAAGGAATACGAGATTTATGGTTGAGCCATAGGAGTTGTATGTTGACCGACATGTTATAGGAACTATTTTCATTTTTTTATTATTTTCTGGGTATCCATTGGCTTATCCATGGGCATAAGTTCATACCCATGCCCTACCATATGTTTTGCGGGTATGAATACCCATTACATGTGAGTATAAAATCTCTCCAAGTTTTTCCATATCCGTTGTTTTCGGGTAGGGTACCCGCGTACCCATGGGCAAAACTGCCATCCCTAGACACCCTCGAGAGGAAGGAGTGCCTCCGCCGCCGCCGCTGCGCGCATAGGCTATGCCCGTGCCGACCGCCGACGATGACGGAGGGGAGAGAGAGAAAGGAGCGGTGACCCGACGGTTAGGGTTGGAGCCCCTCGGTCGCCCGCGCAGGGGCGATGGAGGAAATCAACTCTCGTCTAAAACAGCTTTTTTTTTATGGTAGGGCTTGTACGTTTATGCAACCAGAACAGCGTTTCGTAAAGAAACGAGATACTCCATTTGTTAGACGTATCGTACATGCATGTTGCTTCGAACCGTGTGCTGCGTACGAGAACGACCTTTCACCTACACTACACTACCAACAACTACTGACGGTTCCCCCTTGCGATGCGATACACTTGTTGGGAACAAGAATGTCGAACCCACTCAGCGTCCACTCCGCCTCCGCCTTCTTGCTGACGTATATCTCGGTGCCGACGTCAAGCGACGACCACCGCCTCCTCGCCGGCGGCGTGCCCGGATCCTGCAAACACACACGGAGATCAGCCATCATTCATCTCCATAGCTGCACCCTAGAAGATCGCGGACGAGAAACAGTCACATGACGGAAAGGACAGACGACGCTACCTGGTAGAAATACAGCGCGTGCGACAAGGCCCCGACGTCGAGCTCCCACGCCCTGGGGTCGCCGATCCAGCCCTGCCCCCTTGCCGTGGGGTACCCGAACTCGCCCCACACCGGGTGCGGCACGATCTGCAGGATCTCCTGCGGCTGCGGGTTGCTGTAGGGGTCGCAGTACGTCGTCGGCTGCTCGGCGTGCCGCGCGTTCCCCGGCGAGCAGTAGACGTGGTAGGCGGCGTAGGGGAACCGCGCGGCGTCGTCGCGGTGCACGCGCGTGCCGTTGCGGAACGTGTGCCACGGCGGGCACTGGTCCCTCCGCCCCGGCTGGCACCACGCCGGCGTCTCCGGGTTGATGATCATCTCGCTGTACCGGGTCACATCCGTGGCCGTGTCGCCGTCGCACGCCGCGCCGTCGTTCTTCCAGCAGCTGCCCATGTCCATCAGGTAGAACTGGCTGTTCGCCCCCCCGCCCTGCTTCACCTCCAGCGTCAGCCTCACCTTGAAATCCGGCGAGTCCGGCACCTGACACGGCGAGAGAGAAAATAAGCAATAAGTTACCACGTCGCCAGACAAAATCCGGTGGTTGTGAAAACGGATAACGACTTGACAGAAGCACTCACTATCTTTGTCATGCCTCTGGTGTCGTAGTGGTAGCCGCCGGAGAAGCCCCTGGTGGCGTCGGACCGGAGGTACAGCATCAGCCAGGGGTACTTGGCCGACGTCCGCAGCTTGTGGTGGAAGGCCCAGCCGGCGCCGCCCGCCGGGCCGATCTGCTTCTCCCACACCACCGAGTAGTAGGACACGTCGCTGCTCCCGAGATCCGTGGCGTCCAGCTCGTACGTGCCGAACAGCCCGCCGCGGAGCCACCGGCCGGCGTCGTCCAGCGCGGTGCGGTTGTGGAACACCAGCGGCTGGTTCATGCACCCCGTGCCGCCGGGGCAGGGGAACCGGGAGGTCTGCGCGAACGGGCGCGCCGGGCGGCCATTGTCGGGGCAGATGGCCGCCGTCGTGTCCAGGTTGCCGTTCTTGAGCATCACCATCCAGAACTGCCACGGCACCGGGCTGTCGGGCACCTGGCACCGGTCGCCGAGGTAGAGCTCCTTGGCCGCCGCGTAGCGGTCGGTGTCGGTGACGGTGGAGTTCGCCGATGTGCCGGGGAACGGGTCGCCGGCGCGGAGCGCGTTGTCGGCGTCGGTCACGCGGTGCACCACCTTGTACACGGGCTGGCCCTGCTCGTCGTCGGTGGCCTCTGCATAACAACCGACATTTTTAACAGCAAACAGAGTAGATATCGGCATCGTTCCCATCCAGATCCGCGTAACAATAATGCGCGTGCAAAGAATGTTTGGACGGAATTGCATATCAGGAAGCAATTCTGACTCGGAGCAAGCCAAGGGAATGCGAGCTCTTACGGATGTCAAAGCAGTCGGCGCCGCGCGGGCTGCCCATGCCGGGGGCCTCCTCGCCGACCTCGTTGCAGAAGTTCCAGGCCTCCCAGGCCACGCGGAGGCCGTCGCGCTGCATGCCAGGGTCGCCGACCGCCGACACGTAGCCACGGCCGTGCGTCCGGATGGCCACGGCGGCGGCAGAGCAGGACGAGAGGAAGAGGACGAGGAGCAGGGACTTGGCCACCCGCGCAGCCATTGGGGAAAGGGATCGTCGATGGACACAGCTCTGCAGATCCAAGAGTTTAAAAGCACAATCCGGGTGAGGATGGCCACGGTTGGTGGGGCGGCGGTGGGCTGATGAGCACTAGACCAGACCACTGTACGTAAGACAAAAAGGCTCTCCCCTCTGTGTGTGTGTGCGTCAAAAAGGCAGGGCGCGGTGGAGGAGATGCTTTGTCGACGGGAAGTACCGGTGTGCTATGCTACGGGCGGCAGCCGCTCCGTCGATCCATTTTGCTACTTCTTTTCTTCCGCCGCCTGGAGTTGAGAGATGCGCCGCCTTGGGAATGTCACGGGCACTTCGGTTTATATGACATGCTTGTCCGTTTCTTTAGGCTTGACTTGGTGTGGATGAGTTGCCGCCATGCTTTGTGCGTTTGTGCATTCTTCACCGGATCACTGTTGAACAACAAGTGCATGCGATCCAGATATTGCTTCGAGATGAAATGGTCTTCGTCACTCGCCGTGTGGAGCTCTATTGGCGGCAGAGGGGTCGTCAAAATAGCGGGAGGAATAAAATTATCTTTTATTTACTATCAGTAAAAAAAACTAACACGGCGACCCACGCAATGCACGGGCAACATCTCAGTCATCGAATAATAAATCTTGAAAAAATTATACAAAGTCAGCGAGGGTATTGGTTGATTTGCATGTGTGTGTGTCGAGGACTAGGTTTTTTTTGTCAAATTCCTTTCACTTCTCACCCCTGTACATGAACCATCTCTTTTCTTCTGCTATATGAAAAGGTAGCGCTCCTGCCGTTTTTTCGAAATTTTCTTTTTATAGGGAGTCAGGGCACATACGTTCCGAAAGTCATTATAACACCTTGGTTTTCGGTATTCATTTTAACCGTCAATGTTGTTTTTCTTTCGAAAAAACTCAAATCTATGGACCAAACCAGCAATACAAACGCCTTTGAAAAATAAAACCGTCTTCTTCATTCTGAATGAGCAGATGACGCGTGATGAGAAGACTTTATATTCATACTTTCCGGAGTGTAAACTTGATCTCATATGTTCTATATGATTAGCTAATTGCATGTGTGTTGCAACAGGTACATACATATTCTAGTGTATCAACACTAATTATATCTGGCATATGCCTTACATTCACCACATTCTAGATTTTGATAAAATTTAATTAGATTTGAGTATGGGTAGGAACTGCAAGGAAAGATTCGATTTAGTTAAAGTTTTGATAAGATCTAATTTGATTTGGGTATTCATAGGGGAAGAAAGTAAAGTTTCGATTTAGTTGTGATTTTCGGAAGATTTGCTTTGACTTGATTGAGTTAATGCATGACGTGATTTTGAAAAAGTACCGATTTGGTTTTGATTAGTCAAAGTTACTCTATTTATGTTGATTTAAATTTTGTGTGGCATCGGTTGAGAATGCCAAAAAATCAACAGAAAACCAAGAAGGGAGGGGGTCACACGGAGGAAAAACAAAGGAAGGAGGGGAGGCGACGAAACCAACTCCCCTTTAATATTAGAAGAGATTATTATCACTTCAAATTGCCTAGTGATCATTAATAATTGCAAATGTATGCATATCTCCTTGTATTAAAGTTTTTTTCACTAGATAATTTCCTGTGCATTTCAATGGAAGTATAATTACATTAGTCTGTGATTTATTGGCCCATATTAATGTAATCATGTAAACAAATATTTATCAAATCATGCCCATGATTTATCTACCTAAATAAACTTTAGGATTTTATTTGGTCATCATTTACTTGATAAGAAGTTATTGGCTTACCAAACAAAAAATTAATTTTATTTGATAAATCGATGAAAGACGAGATAATTAAGACGGTTTTCAAGGAAAACTAGTACAAAAATCCAGAGATGGAAGGAATTTTTTAACAACATAGATAAGGAGGGGGAAACTTATGCAAGGTTGGATGAAGGACGAGGTGAACAACATAATCTTACGTTCGTTTTAAGTAGGACAAATATATGGACGTAATCACGAGGAAATTCATACATAATCATAAATTACTTTTTTGAATGATTAATCAAAAATTACTTAAATAGAGGATCATTTCCATATAAATAGGATCACCAAATGTGACTCCAGAAGCAAATACAACATGCGGAATGAGCGGGCACAGTATCCCCGAAATTGGCATCGAGAAGGCCACCCACGACGCTTCTGTGTTGGGCCTGAGGACTAATTCATAAACACTTCACCCCTAAAACCCTATTATGGACGTTTGCACTATATTAAGGATAATGACTCTAGATCGTTCTCTTCGCCTACTTCAACTATGTCTTCTCTATAGTCGTCATCTCTTTGTAGCAGCCACCACCTCGATCTCCCATTAGATTATACTTGTACTCGAGATTCCATTGCAACCGGTGATATTTGTGAGATGGTTAACCATTCATCCTCAAATAAACCATCTAAAATGTCTCTTGTTTGTCATTCAATTGCAATGTGTGAGTAGTCCTCATAGCCAAGGATCGAGGCACAACCTCGTAGCCTGCATATATATGTTCCACCTATGAGGTCACAATATGATTATATTTATATTATGTTTGTACAACGATCTTGCCTCCTCTAGATCCTAGGTGTCACTAGTACCGGATGCGCCAAAGGTCAGACAAAGGAGAGACAATTAGTAGGGGGGGTTAAAGGCTACATCGAAGATCGGTGATAGTAAGGCTAGTACTCTAGCTCATAAAAGTTCCTTGGGGAAGAACGATGCAATCATTACACATTAACACATTGGTTTGGTAAATCCTCAACAACTAAGGTAACCCGTGAGAAGGAATAGGGCCAAAGTTGGATAGACAAATATACATTGGCTTGTTATTATTTACTCATGATGAGTAAATAATGATAAACTTATCTATCATATGAGTAAATAATAATAAACTTGTAACTCGATAAGTGGATAATGCGGCAACTGGTCATAGTGTCGCATGGATGCATCACCCACTTATCTAGTCACAAGTTTATTATTATTTACAAATCTTATCAATGCATATTGGTCTATCTTATTCCCAAGCACATGTATGTATATGTTGGTGAAACCTCTGGCATATTTCCTTGTATTGTTTACAATTGCTCCCAATTTTTATTTAGTTGGCCAAACCAAATGGATAGATCGGAGAGAAATACAAAGATATAACAATCATGCATAATAAAGTTCAGAAAAGACTCCATTACTTATCATAAATATTCAGATCATAAACCCACAATCATTGGATCCTAACAAACACACCTCAAATAAAGATTACATCGGATAGAACTCCAAGAACATCGAGGAGAACATTGTATTGAAGATCAAAGAGAGAGAAGAAACCATCTAGCTACTAGCTATGGACCTGTAGGTCTGTGGTGAACTACTCATGCATTATCGAAAGGCAACAAGGATGATGTAGATGCCCTCCGTGATCGATTCCCCTTCTGATATAGTATCGGAAAAGGCCTCCAGATGGGATCGCGGAAGAACAGAAACCTGCGACGGAGGAAAAAGTGTTCCAGGTGACTCTCTGTTGGTTTCCCGATTTTAGATAATTTATAGAGGTGAAATTTGGTCATACGGAGCCACAAGGGGCCCACAAAGCAACAAGATGGTCATTACAAGAAGGAGGGGATGCCACTCGGGCATCTCCAAGCTTAGTTGCTTGCTTCTCTTTGGATAATAGCTTGGGATGCCATTGGCATCCCCAAGCTTAGGCTCTTCTTACTCCTTATTCCTTCATCCATCGTAACATCACCCAAAACTTGAAAACTTCAATCACACAAAACTCAACAAAACATTCATGAGATCCGTTAGTATAAGAAAACAAATCACTAATATAAGTATTGTTGCAAACTCATACATATTTTATTCTTGCATTATATCTAATGCATTCCAACTTTTCTGTGGCAAAAACTCTTCAAATAAAACCATAGAATCATCAAAACAAGCACACAATGCAAAGAAAACAGAATCTGTCAAAAAACAGAATAGTTGGTAGCAATCTGGATATTTCGAATACTTCTGTAACTCCAACAATTGTGAAAAATTAGGACCACGTGAGCAATTTGTATATTAATCTTCTGAAAAAAGAATTGGTATTTTATGACGCTCCTGTTAAAAATGAGAATTATTTTCGTGAGAGCAAAAGTTTCTGTTTTTCAGCAAGATCAAATCAACTATCACCCAACAAGATCCTAAAGGCTTTACTTGGCAAAAACACTAATCAAAACACAAAAAACACAATCATAATAGTAGCATAATTGTGCAAACTGAAAGTGCAACTATCCCTAGGTGGTTTTGGTAATTCCTAACAACATATAGCTCATTGAGCTAATGCTATTTCAAGATTAATATTTTAGGAAAGCTCAATGATTGGCATGGCATGGATCAGAAAAGTGGACCCCTCAAAATGCTAAGGACAAAAGGACTGGCTCAAGCTCAAAGCTCAAGACTCTACATTTTCTATTTTAGTGATCCAAGATCACATTGAGTCTATAGGAAAAACCAATACTATCAAGGAGGGATGAGGTGTTGCTTAATGAGGCTCTTGCTCAAAATGCTTAGTGATATGCTCCAAAGCCCTCAACTACTTTCTCACATCCACATATGACCTAAACCAAAAGTCAAACTCGGCCCCACCGATTCTTTCTATCCGGTG